AGGGGGATTTTCGACGGAAAATAACACATACTCGAAAAAGAATCCCACATGGTCAAAATAATAATAATAGTAATAATAATAATAATAACAATAATAATAATAATAATAGTAGTAATAATAATAATACTAATAATAATAAGAAGAAGAAAAATAAGAATAATAATAATAATAATAATAAATCCTCGAGGGTCGAGGCTGGAGTTAAGTCGGGCGTGTCCCCCTACACGTGGATTCTCGACGGAAAATAAAAAGTACTCGAACAAATAATCCAAAAAGGGCCAAACAAATGCTCAAAAGATCGTCCCCAGACTAGCTTTTTGCCTAGTTTGGAATCGTCCCCCTGTAGAGGGACAGGCCCGACTTACGGCTAGAGGGTCGAGGATGCGGATGCCCTCTCCCTGGGGGGGGGGCCTCCCGAGGCGCCCGCGTCGCCGCGACTGGACTCCTCTCGAAGGTCGGGCATGCCCCCCTACAGGGGCGTATCTTGGGCGATTAAAAAAAACTGAAACATACACCAAAAGAATCGCAACATGCCAAACATCGCCCCCGGACTATTGCTCGACTGTCTTGTAGATTCCAAGACGCACCCCAGGATGGATCCGGGGGTCGGTTTTCGCCTCGGACTCTGACCCCCATCGCTCTCCCTCCTGCCACGTCGTCTTCGACGGCGGAGACCTCGGCGGCGGCGACCAGGCCGAAGACGACGGCGGACGGCGGACGACGACTCCAGCGAGCGTCGTCCTGACTGCCCCTGCTTTCTGGCCTTCTTCCAGCCCGGCACTCCCCCCGTCCCTTGGGGACCCCAAAACCGTGTGGTGACAGACTGGGCGGTGACCTCGGAACCCCAAGAGACCTCACCGCACGGTCCGTCACCGCACAGTCTTGGGACCGTGGAGGCCCCTGTCGCCCGAGACATCCTCGGAGAGGGACTCGTTTGGGGGCCCCCGAGTCCCCTCCCCCAGTCTCCTGCCCTGGAGGGTCCAGGGTCGAGGTTCGAAGTCCCCTGGCTTCTCGGCTGGACGCTCTGCCGCTCGCTCCCTCCCGCGCTTCCCCCTCCGCCAGGGGCGCCTCACTCCGCGCTCTCGCGCCGCCCCCCCCCCAGGGGAGCAGAGGAGGACGAGGGGGAGGCGGAGCCGCAGCGCGAAGCGCGCGAACCGCTCCGCGCCCTCGAGGGCACCTCCGCTCCGGCCTCCTCCATCTCGAGGGTCAAGGATGGAGCGTTCGGCGTAGGAGGAGGAGGAGGAGGAGGAGGAGGAGGAGGAGGAGGAGGAGGAGGAGGAGGAGGAGGAGGAGGAGGAGGAGGAGGATGGGGACCCCCTCCCCATCCTACTCCTGGTGGTGGTGTTGGTGGAAAAGAAGCCCATCATTCGAGGTACAGGCAGGCGCTGGACGAGAGCATCGGCGGCGACCGGGCCAGCGAGGGCCTGGCCCCCGAGGTGGGACGAACCTAGGATGACGTCGGGCCTGTCCTCCTGCGGGCGGAGCTTGGGCGAATACTTCAAGATGGTCAGAAGATGCACCAGACGGACCAACAACTATACCCAAAAAAGCATCCCCAGACTATCCTTTGCATATGTTTGAATCCTCCACCTGTGGAAGGACAGGCCCGACCCAAACCCAGGAAGGAAGGGCACGGCGAGGAGGGCGCGGCTGGGCCCCCCATGCGGTCCCGCCGCGGCACGGGGGCCGTGCGACCGAGAGGGAGGAGGCCTCCGAGGGAGCGGTGGAGGAGGCAATGGGACGCACGGGGACATACTGATACTATATGTCCTCCTTGGAGGCGCGCGTCCGACCCGAACATATAGTGTACCCATATTGTAGTATATCGTTTCGCGAGCGGTGCGGCCAGAAAGCGCCCGCCACGACGCATATACTATAAGATTTCTCGGTGCGTGCGTCGCCCCTGGGGGGCGACGCACATATAGCATAAGTAGTTATTCTGGGGTGACGCCGAAGGCAACACTCAGCCTTGCTAGGCCTGCTTTCCACCACCACCACCACAAGTTGGAGGGGGGAAGGAGGTGGGGAGGACGAGGAGGAGGGGAGGAAGGAGTGGAGTGGAGCAGCCCAGGAGCGGACGAGTCAATACTCCCGCCGCCCTGGGCCAACCGTGAGGACCATCACAAGGAGGTAGTGGAGGAGGAGGAGGAGGAGGAGGAGGAGGAGGAGGAGGAGGAGGAGGAGGAGGAGGAGGAGGGGGACCCCCTCGCCCTCCAACTGATGGTGGTGGTGGAAAACGGGCCCGTCAAGCCCAGCACCGTTGGCGCGCGCGCACCCCGGTGCGAGGAGGAGGTCCAGGCACAGCAGCCCCAGGAGATCGAGGTCGTGGGCGAGCGGAAGCGAGGAGGCCGAGCCCACGCTCCCACGCAGCCGCCGGAGCACGAGCTGGGACGACCCCGAGCCCAGGAAGCACCAGGAGCCCACTGGCAGCAGCAGGGCTTCCACCAGGGCGACAAGGTCTAGACCTATCCACCGTCGCCGGCCAGGCCCATCCTAGGCC